TTTTGCCCATCGAGTGGAAATTCGTTGACTGTCCGGTATCATCCAATGTAGAATATTGTTTGAAAACCGGAAGTACGGAGTTCTGGGTGGCGGTCCAACCAACCAATTTAGTCTCTGGTGTGACGAGCATGAAGATCAACAATCAAGAAACGTCACGTGTTGACTCTGCATTTTACTTCTTAATCGACGGGAAAGGCAAAAGTGTGGCGAATCTCAGTGAATTGACCATTTCAGTGACAGGTGTGAATGGCGAAGTGTTAGAGGACACACTGTCAATGAAAGCCGACTTGTGTACAGCCGGTAGCTCGCAATTTTCACCAAGTGGTGACATTGATCAAACGACAACTATCTCGGTAGATTCCTTTTCGAGTACCGAGACTTCGTCAACGAATTCAGCCCAGGAGATCCCTACTGCGACTCCTACAAACGCACCCACTGAAACTCCTCCACCTGAACATTCAACAGACGAAACAGTTCCATATGCGGTCCAAAATGTCTCTTTTGAAGCTCTAACGCCAACAGCACCTCCAACCGAAGCACCAACCCCAGCACCAGTCCAAGATACCCCTCCTCCAACATCTCAAGAGACACCAACTATCCCCGAATATTCGACAAATGAATCAGTTCCATATGCGGTCCAAAATATCTCTTTTGAAGCTACAACGCCAACAGGACCTCCAACCGAAGCACCATCGCCAGCACCGTCCCCAGCACCAGTCCAAGAAATTCCTCCTCCAACATCTCAAGAGACACCAAATTTCTCCGAGCATTCGACAAATGAATCAGTTCCATTTGCGGTCCAAAATGTCTCTTTTGAAGCTACGACGCCAACAGCACCTCCAACCGAAGCACCAGTTCAAGAAATCCCTCCTCCAACATCTCAAGAGACACTAACTCCCCCCGAACATTCGACAAATGAATCAGTTCTGTTTGCAGTCCAAAATGATTCTTTTGAAGCTTCAACGCCAACAGCACCTCCAACCGAAGCGCCAACAGCACCTCCAACCGAAGCGCCAACCCCAGCACCAGTCCAAGAAATCCCTTCTACAACAACTATAGAGGCACCAACTGTCCCCAAAGATTCGACAAACGAACCAGTTTCATGTGCAGTCCAAGAAGCTGCTTTCGAAGCTATAACGCCAATAATTGAAGCTCCAACTCCCAAAACAGTCCAGCAACCTCTTACAAACGATCCTACAAAGCCTTTCTCCGACGCGCTCGTGCCCGAAAATCCAACCGACACTTTCTCTCCAGTAACTGATGCACCATCTGCTACATTAGCAATCGGCCCTTCAGCTTTCACTCCACATATATCTCCACTCAAAGAGCAATCTGTATCTTTGCAAAACCGAGCAGTATCTATAGATCACCAAAGCCTTCAGGACCAAAGCACTGGTCCAATCAAGTTGGCTGTTGTGGCGTCGACGGAACCGACTTTGGACGCAATTGATCAAAATGAACTCGAAGTTGAGACGGATAACCCATCGACCACTCTCAAAACACAAGAAAGAACTTCGTCTGGTCCAAATCTCATTACATCATTGCCACCAGTGAATGAGGCCTCTGTGCAAAATCAAACAATTGCCAGCGATGGTCCCTGGTCCACTCCTGCCGTCATTGGTGTTATTGTTGCTGCCTGTGTGGTCTTAGGCGTTGTCGTTGCCGTAGCAATTGCTCTTCACAAGAAACGCAAGCTTCTTGAAGAAAGCAAGTTTGACGACCGTGTTTCGGAAGACTCGCTTGATGCTTACTTTATTGACACCAACACACCAAGATCAGAAGCGTTTCTGACGCACTCAGTTGTGTGAACAGAATTTATGTAAAATGTGTGTAAACTAGTAAGTAGCGTAAAAATATGACGTTATTTGGTTTTTATTACTTGTGAAATTCTCGAAAATAACTATTCAAACTGTGCAGTATAATATTTCACACACTGGCATCAAATGCGGCTGATGAGGAAAAGCACGTAGCATCACGAAGAGATTAGACTATATAGGAGCTGCATTTGCGTGCGTGTGTGCTCAATGACGTTACTATTGGCATCAAGGAGGGGGGAGTTAAAGTCACCTTGTTATGAGGCGGAGGTCTGGATTTATGTATTGTATATTAACGTGGGGTGGAGAAACGTCGTGTATGCAATTTGAATTTCTGTGAACACTGTGTATAATCAAAGGTGGTCTGATGGACTGCCTATAACCCTAGACAAGTATGAAGTAGGACCGAGTTCATTGGTCCTATTAGATAACAGAGAGGCATTTGTGGGTACCCTCGTCCGAGCGCGTTGAATGTTGTTTGCTAACCTCTTTCTTCTCCTCGCGCTCGGATAATTGAGGTGATTGTGAATAAAAGGAGGAAGAAATGATGAGGTTACAGTGGTGTGTACAGAAGTGGAGAATTGTATATCGCATGTATTCCACCCTATTGTAGTAATCATTTGTATTTGTAGCTTACACTGTTCTGGATCTCACCGCATTGTTACTTGGGGTGTCAATGTTGACATGCAGTGCTATAGCCTCTCCCTCTATTTTGCCGTCCGTCAATTTGGGTATTCACACGTGCTATATGATGTCTGCCTTCATGGGCTAATTTTTATGTGCAAAGTCTCAGTGGACACGTTAGAAAAATTAGTGGCAATTTCGTGTCAATGCAATGTTTGCTGGAGGAGCTTGGAAGTTGCAAGAAGACTCACATGGTAATAGTGCGATGTGTCTTCAATGGGTTGCCATCCGACTGTATCGACGCACTTCAAGTGCTTGATGCAGTCACGCTGGTAATAAAGTCTCGTACTTGTCCAACGGAGACGTCTTGGCTTTGCCGTTGTGAGAATTCTAGAGCTTCTTGTACATTGCACTGCTTAATTTCGTCCAAATTTCTCCGGTGTCTTCTGAACTGAAAACCCACAAGATTTTTTTTCTGACTGGCTGCCAAGTCTTTTTGGATGCATTTAAAACTTGAGATACGATATGAATGTACACTTTTCACTACATAATTTTTTATTGATTACTAGCGCATCAATCGATTGACTGCATCAATTTAATGTCCCGGTGTGCTGATGAGTGCGTCATTCACTTCAAATGAATTGCCGAACATACAGACATCAACACTTTTAACTTGCGCTTCTTGTAAACAGCTGCTGCCAAGCAAACGACGGTATCTACTACCGCATACAACAGTAGCAATGGAAGCGATGACGGCAGTCGACGAGTCAAAACTATTGTTATCGTTCTGCACGGAAGCTTCACTAATTAAAATCGTTGGTTGCGCGTGATCTCCATTCAATTACTACTGAGATAACGTTGTGTCTTTTATTGTGTTCTCCAGTATCTTCATCTCTTCTCGTTACCACATATAATACGTAGAATCGGCTTGTTGGTGACACTGTACTCGTATGAGTTTTTTTGTTACTATGATCTGCAACTCCCCGATTGTCACTAAAAGGTGCTGAATGGGATGGGACGTTTTTCCGACCGTAAAGGTGCTTTGAAGCGGATTCTAAGTAAGGATTGAAGTTAGCACTGGCAATGATCTGTAAAAGATTGCGCAAGGTGGTTTCAGTGACTGGGGAGTCAAATTAAATCGCGTACGTGTCTGGTGGTGGGGTAATTAGTGATGATTCAGTCACAGGATCCATCGTTGGACCATCCGTTGGTGGGACTGTCTTTAGGGCTGCTATTTGTGGATACGTAGTAATCGGTCTGTTTCTGGTGCAGCTGATGTATCTGTCAGTTCTGGACCCGCTTCCTCCGAGATTGTTGTCGTTTGATAAATGTCTCCACTGGATGAATATTGCAAATATCGCGGCTACAGTAGCTGGATAAGACTTCAAGCGCTTCACCATTCACACCCATACCACGCAATGCCATTGTAAGCATCAAGTAGATAAGTTGAATTGAAGTATTAGTTATATGTTTTTCAAGAAAAGCCGTTGCCTATTTTTCGATTGCTGTGACGGTGCCACAGTCAAAAAGTGATAGCAAACACAAGCTGACGTCACGGTAGCCGAACCAAACCAGGACATACGTACTGGCTAGGCACCTTAAAGTGAACGTTTTGATTGTTTTAACTTGAGCTTAATACTAATAACTCGAATTCCGAACTTTAATTAAAAAATCTAGTAAGGGATTGTAATTATCTACTTTTCTGCATAACATTCGAATTTGTACATTATTGATTTGTTTACTCTACCTCTTAAAATGTACCATGACTCGTTGAAAATATACTTTCAACGTAATGTCGCGCTGTTTTCGTGGTAATTTCAGGATTTGCCAACCAATTATTGATTCAGTACGTAACTTCTCGGGGAAAGGCGAACCATGATATCCATTTTAACTTTTCAGCTGACTTGTAATCGTCAATAAACATGCACTTCCCTCTTCCGGCAAATACATTTCCATCGTTAATTGTATCAGAGGAAGACCGACTTGAGCTTCAAAATTTATCGGACACTTTTGTATATAGCGCAATCAAGGAATACACGGATTTTTATGATGCAAAGCATAGTGTGTTGGACAAAAAGCGTTGGCAATTGATCAAGACTCGAGAAAATATGACGGCGTATCGAGCTATGCGTTTGACTAAGACGAAAAGAGATCACTTTGCTTCGAAAGAACGAGTCGATTCCGGTATTATAACTGCATCGACTAAGCTTCAAAGGGTATTAGCAGTCGGTACAGTCGAAGGAGAGTTTAATGATATGGCCTTTGGACTTATTACTGGAAGTGCAGAGATGATGATGATTAAGTCGTCCTACACAAACGATATGGTTGTTGATGAAAAAGTGCTTGCTACCGTTGTGGAACCAACTCCAATAGAACCAGTTCGTGGGACGTTTCTTAAATGGAGTGTTTCATGTGGTGTTCCTGTCTTTCTACGAAAGCTGATTCGACCACGAGATTTTGTCTATCTGGAATCCACTGGCATTCTTAAGGTCAAATCTGAACGGATTGGCTATTGCTTAGTGCATTCGCTTCAAATACCAACAATTGGTGAGCTGACCAAATACCAAATTGTGCGAGGGAATATTTCTGTTTGTGTGCTGTTTCGTCAGAAATCATTTGGCAAGATTGAACTTTACGTCAAAGGGTTCGTAGATCCAATGGGTAGCGTCCAGCCATGCATTGCCGTCTCTCACACAGCAGACGCTCTGTTATCATTTTGTAAAATCGTCCATTGTGGACAAATGAAAAAGCTTTACTGGCTTTGGACAGCCAGGAAGACAGTTGTACTTGACCATGACAATAGCGACTGCGTCGTTTGTACCAATTATCCTTGTCGTCCAAAGATATGCGAAGTGTGCATGCACACCATTTGTACTCGTTGCAGTGTCACTAAAAAGCTCAGCTTTTTATCGTCAACAACCGGTCAAGTCTTTCCACGCAACGTCATCTTTTGCGTTCGATGTTTATTAGCTGCCATGAAAGCCGATGCTCTTCAAGTTGCAGCAGAGCAAATTAGGTGTCAAGTTCCAACCATTGACTTGTACGATGTGTCTACGCGCCCGACTTCATCATCAAAGATGGTCTCTCCCTCGAGTGCAAACATTCCAGATGCAACTCGTGAATTTTTTGGTTAGCAGTAGAACAATTCCACCTTTTCACTTCATCAATCAGATCATTTGCCAGACGTTATAACCTTGTCAGAACGTATTGACGATTTCATGGACTGGGCGACCAAGTCGTCCTTCCTATCGGCAGTTGATTGTAGGGAAAATTCCATGGGACACGACTTTGTGTAAACTTATTACAGCTCGACGGTGTTGCTCATTTTTCGAATCGAATATCTAAGATACAGTCAAGCACGATCAAATGATGGACTTTTTCGTCTCAAGGACTCGAAATCTACTGCACACTTAAGAAATCGATTGAACGTTTATCAGCCATACAATTGTAAGTCAAGAGAGTAAGTTAAGAGACAGCCACATAGTAAGAACAAGTGGCTACCAAAACCTCCCTCTGGACTTTTTTAAATACAGAAGCGCGGTGTCTAATCTGTTTACTACTAAGGCTACGACATTTCTTGCGCAATGCATCCATCTATCTTTATTTTGTCAAATGATCGAGTCAAAGTTTGCCTGACGGACGAAGCAACAGCATTTTGAGACGCTTAAGCACTTGATTTTTATCGAGCATCATGTTGTCGTGCGTAAAAAGCGCTTGGGCATTCAATCCAGACACTTTAACAAGGATTTGAGTTATTTCAGACTCGGGCATGGCTGAATCTGCAGCTTGTAGACAAACACGAAAGTCATGTAACGAAATTAATTGCGTACGACAATCTTCTGATACAAGCTCAGTAGATTGAGATCCACCTCGTCGAATTTGATCGTGTACGTGATGCTGAAAAGTCAAAAGGTCATCGAGACGCTGCATCTTAAGGCTTTCAGCCAATTGACGTAGTCCAAATTCAGGCTTAATTTGATTGAGGAAAGACTCTTGTGCTATCAGCGTCGTATAATCGACATGAAGCTGTCCACGTAAGTCGACAATCGTTGCTCGATGTAGTTGACTAAGAGCTGCATCAGATTTCCATGGAAATGTCTGACGTAGCGCTTGCACCAAGTCGGCAAGCGAGACTTGACCGGGAGGTGGGCAGGTCACAGAGGAACTATCTGCTAAAATAGTAGAAGAGTGCCGATCTTGATCGACAGTAACGAGTGCATCGTGCAATGCTGCAAGTTCTCGACTTTGATCACTACGTGCTTCTACAGAAAGTTCCTGGCAGTAAACGAGATGAAACAAGCGACAGACACTCGAGCGGGTACGAAATCGCTCTACACCACTTAAAAAATTATACGCGAGCTCCACCTGATCGGCTCGGTGATCTCGAGCTCGCTGTAAAAATCGATCGAGTGCCACCGTGAGCAACGATGTTTCAGACGACAAAGGAAAGTTTGCTATGGCGCTTGTAGACTGTCCACTATCGATAAATCGAGCTTGCTCGTTATATTGATTCCACACTTGCTCAATCATTTGCTCAATCTTTGCACGTGAATAGTAAAGATTGCGTACTATCCCGTCATATTGTAAGAAGGTGGGAATATTGATACCTAATTCGCGACAAGCGATAAAATCTCTACCAACGAATTGTTGAGCCATGACTTCACTCAAGGTTAATAGCTCCGGTGGCTCAGTTAAAAAAACCATCGGATCGTTTAAAAGGCCTCCAGCCTCCGTTCTAGTATTGAGTAGAGCGTAGTGTTGTTGTTGAACTTGCCTCAATTTAAAAGTGATCAAAGCAGCGACATCGTCGACAGAACCAGATTCAATTGACATTTCATTCAGAAGATGAGGCAGCTCCATTTCGAGCCCAAAACCTTTCATTCCCTTAATAAAGGCGGCATTCAGCAACGCCTGCTTGCTAATATCATCTGTGTGACTTGACTTTGGTGCCTTGGAGCTTTCTATTGCTGTTTTTAAGGTTTCAGATAGCTCTTGAAGTTCTGTACTAAGTAAGCCGATCGTTTTTTTATCTGCAGCTACTTGTTCTCTATTTCTTTGTTCTTCAAAAGTTGCGACTGTTCTCCTAAGCTCCGCAACTTCATCACATACATGTGAATAGCGAGTCGTCAGCTTTTCAAAAGCTTTTGAATCCTCAAAAGACTGTTCTTGATCCATGCGTAAGTTTTCTTCATGTCGACGCACACTATTCACTAACACTGACGTAGACCGCTGGAGTCCAACAAGTTTGCATTCAGCTTTTGCTAGATTGTCCTGCTCGCGTTTAAGTTCACTATGTAATCGAGCGTTCTCAGCCGCACTAGCAGCTAGCAGCGCCTGTGTCTCTGTAAGCCGTCGCTTGAGTGAAACTGAGAGCACTTTCGCTTCAGCGTTACTTGTACTCAGTTGCTGAAGGTAATGAGTCTCCACACTCTGCAGTCGAGTCTGCATTCCTGGAACCTTCAAGCTTTGTGCATGAAGATATTCCACAGCATTTTCGTACTCGTCTCGAATTCGTGTCAACACCGGAGCGTATACACTAAAATTCTCGATGAGTCTATTGAAAACTTCTCGAACGACTTGAAGTCTTTGTAACGTAGGTCGATGAGAAGTCTGTCCATTCTCCGTCTGAAGTTCAGTATCAAGAAATTTGGAAAGCTCTTGGAGTAAAGTTGGCCGCGGTCGAGTGTCATCTATAAGTCGGGTTCGATTGTAAAGTTTTTGCACTTTAGGTGATATGGGAGAGTTCAGCTCTAAGTCACCAGTCGAGTCGAGTAGACCGTGTTTAGTATACGAGTCAGAGGGTTGAGGCCATGATACGATGTGATGGGAGTTCTCTGCGTGAAGAGGAGTTATATAAGACGTCTCAATGTGGGTGCCATCTTTATTTGATACATTCGCGACCTCGTTTAAAGTTGGTGGTAATGGAGGTAAGGTTAGTATTGGTTTGGCAGGGCATTTAAACTGCGTCGGACGTCGCGGTGATGGAGTTAATAGTCCAATCGGAACGAAATTCATCGGCAAAGTTGCGCGTCCAAATGCGTCTTCAGAGTTGAAATATATTTAGGATTGAAATCGTTATGAACGTCGGCTTAACGTTCCCGCTTGATGCAATGACTTTCCACACAGACATATCAAATGGATAGAGTAACATAAATCGACGTACGAGGTTCGTGCAAGGACGAGGAGATAGAGACGAGCTGACGTTAGATATTAGCCTGCTAAATCAAGAAAAGACAAATGATTATGTTATATATCTCACACATTGTGAGTCCATGCTGCCAATTATTGTTCTTAATGTAAAGAGCGATCATACATCTCCATGAGCCAACATCTCCCAGATCTGTTTTTCCAATTATTGAGTACGTGACAATGATATCAAAGAGTTTGGAACTATCGCTTCCATGAACTAATTGCGCAACCAAGCACATTGGTAGCAGTCGAAACGAAAACTTTCAATAAAATGCATCAGACAATACATGGACAATACGAAATAGAAGTCTAAAAAGATATCAAAAAATGCACTTTCACATCGAGTCATGACGTACAGCATTATATTGCTACTCATCTTATCTCGCAATCAAAACGAGGAGTCAATATGTTGACTTGTGTTTTCAGCCGTCAATGTCATGTAAGGCATGTGATTCATGATGCCAAACTCTAGACATTTCGATTGCAAGTAAAAGATGTAATATATTGTTTAAACCGCCTAAATTTCAAGTGGCTATATCAACACACCTTGACTCAAGCCCAAATCTTGAGTAGTGTGTCCCAGCTGCCTGTGCACAGTGCCTGACCTACGGGATTCACTCCAAGGCAAGAAACTCGATTCTCGTGGCCCGCGAGCTGGTATATATGTGCACCCGTAGTGCCTAGCACATCCCAGCAATAACAGTTGTAGTCGTCATAGCCTGCAAATAGAAAACGACCCGACTTGGAAAAGCTTACGGAAGTGATACCACATAAAATTTTGTCATTGCTAAAGTTGTTGAGTTCTCCATAAGCTCGAAGGTCAAAAAGTCGGCAACTTGAGTCGTCAGATCCAGTGCCCAAAGCATTTCCACTAGGAAAAAAGTCAACCGAGTTAATATCAGACTCATGACCCTGAAAAGTGTGCGTTGTCTTCCCCGTTCTAATATCCCAAACTTTCGAAGTCGAATCACAAGAACCAGAAATAAACATGCTCGGATTGTGTGGATTAATGCTCACAGACATGACGTCACCCGAATGTTCACGAAATGTAGTTTTTACTTCTCCGCTCTCGACATCCCAAAGGATACAATTCGAGTCCCCCGAGCTAGTAACGATATTGGCTTCGTCAATAAACCTGCAGCAGCTAAGGTAGCCATCATGTGCAGCAAGTTCCTTTGTTGCGCGCATAACTTGAGCTTGTGATAGGTGAAATATACTGCAAAGGTTGTCAAGTCCACCACACGCCACCATGTTGCGCTGTTTCTGCTCAAAGGCGCAGGTCATGACCCAACTGGAACGCAATGGGATAGCCTGAATCTTATTCGTCGTTTGTGCATTCCAGACAATAAGTTTACCGTCTTGTGATGCAGACACGAGGCTAGAGCTATCACCTCCCCATTGCATAGCATAGATCTTGCCAAAGTGACCCTTAAGTAACCGTCGACATTTCGGAGGACCTGGAATCGCCTTAGCACCAGCACTAGCATTAATGTTTTGAAATCCGCCATCGCTCTTGGCTTGGCGCGTCTTCTCAATCGTTTCTTTTAAGCTCTCACACTTTTTCTTAAGCTCAGCGACGTCGCCCATGACGAGAGATGTGAAGAATGCAAAGTCTGTTTATAAATTTCAAGGTGCGACGCTTTAAGTATATCTTCCTAGAGAGAGAAACTATGTGATGTCAAAGTTTATAGCAGGATTAAAATAGTATCCGATGAAACGAATTCATCTCGTGCTGAACATAAAATGTTTGGAATCTTATGCGGGTTCATATTTTGGGAATAATTAAGGATGCGAGCTCTCGGCGCAGTAATTCGATGTGAAAGCTTGACTGCCTACGAGGCTTTAAGAACAGCCTTTGACACGGTATAAGCACCCTGTTGTGGTGTACGCACACATTACATTATTGCTTTTGAGCTTGCAGTGTGGCAGAGTACTATGATCGAGTGCTGTGATCGAAGACTCTAGAGATCGAGTACAATGCTCGACACAAATGTGATGGTACTGTAAAAATTAAAGGTCCGTACGGCACATGGGACCTCTATGCCCTGCAATCAAGGAAGCGGACTTTTATGGTAAGTAGAAACTCAAACATATTACTTTTCAAGATGATGTGATCACACAATGGCAAAAGATGGTGTGACCACAAGATGGTGTGATCACACAATGGCCTTTATGGTGTGACCACACGATGGTGCTGCACAAACTTTCACAATCCGAAATGGTTTTAACAATTGAGCAAAAAATTTTGTCCGAAAATAATTTTTAATTGTGCACACTTAATTGCTTCAGTATTGCGTTCTTGGGTTTCGTGAAGCTGTAAATCCACCGAGACTCAATGATTATCCGCCTTCGTTTATCATGATGCACTGAAAGACGCCTTGCAACGAATAGAACACATTTTTCAAAGACTCAATTGGTTGGTTTGTTGAATGCACGAGTCACACCATCGATCTGGTGTTGATGCTTGATGATGGCGTAATGATCGAACTGCAGCAAAGAACATTGTAGCCAGGGTTACTAGGAGGCTGACAGATCAAAATATCCCAACTGCCCTGTTAAATGCCTGGACAAATTTTGGGTCATTCGAGCCACAATGTGGCTTGTCATTGTCTTGCTATATTCGGAAAGTTATGCTAAAAAGTCATTTATCGATCCATTTCATTTGATCGATAAATGACTTTTTGAAGCAAAGCTTTCGTGTACTCTTCGTTGTTGGCGACCTGAATGTTAATAATACACAAAATGCCAAATGTCCAGGTTTTAAATAAACTTTTTTTCTGGTTGGATTCCATCGTAAGCGGGCGACAGCTGCAATGAGCATCACTGTTGCGATAAAATTGCTTGCTACGAGTCGCGTGATAAACCTCTTCTTCGTCTAGAATACGGTAATAATCCTGTTGGTTTCGTTACATAAAACCCCTTTCATCGACGTAAAGGTAGTCATGCAAGGACGAGAATTCATCCTTTCTTCGTGGGCAAAAGAACTCGACTTTTTTTGACATATTCTACCCGTCAATCTCATTTGAGTGTGCTCGAGGCCTTTTTTTCTTTCTTTTTTAAGAAAACTGAGTACAGTCGCCACCATTGCTGCTGCCATGCTTTTGAGTGTAAAAACTCGAAAAATCGAGTCATGGGTTAGATTCAAAATCTTCGCCAGAATGAGAGCGCGATCTTTTGTTACGATCCGAAAACTGCTTGATCATGAACTGACTACTAAATGTGCATGCCTTTAGGTCAGATGTTTCCAGAATTCTGCGTGCACTACAGCAATTTTGGAAGCAGCCTTGGTAATGGCACACCACCGAAAGTTATCGTACCATGCTGATCCATTCATGAGTGCGTTGACAGCTCGATAATGCCATCATGGTATCGTTGTCATGACTTAACAAAAATTCGTAAGACCTATTTGGTTGTGCTTTTAACTTTCCTTTTACCTCTTTGAAATTTCATGCAATAATTGCAATAGATCGTACTTAGTACAAAGTTTGCAATACTCAGATAAGAAAATCTTCGAAATAAATTAAAAATTACTTCTTCACCTTGAATTGGTCTAGGCGCCAAAGAATTCTTGCTGATTGCTTGGTAAAGTCGATCTCGACGGCGAGACAGGTGATTCACCATCACTGGAAGAGATTGTATGATATTCAAGTGGATTTGATCGACGCAACTCTTCGGCCGCAATTTCAAGTCCATCAGCTAATTTAGCAACCCGAATACATCGAGCACAGAATGACACATTCCGACGTCTTATTTGCCGTGTGGAGGACAGAAACACCAGATTATGAGCTTCACTGCATGACGAGCACACTTGATTCATACATACTTGACACAAATTATCATGTGAAGACATTTTTACCGTCTTTTGACACACGAAGCACATGCCACTAAATTGATCGAGCATTACCATGTTTTTAGTTTTCAGCAGCCAATTTAGCTTCTTCATCTGACCACAATATGTTCCGTTGCGATACGACATTAACGCTTCAGCCGTGGCAGAAATCGCAACTTTTGTGCGGATGTCGCCCTTGGAGTCGACAAAACCTTTAAGGTAAACTTCCACGACGCCATTTGATTTTTGTCGAAACAATGCACAGATTGAGATCGTGGCACGCACAATTTGGTACTCGACCAATTCTCGAATGCCTGGAATTTCGAGTGAATGCACAACACAATACCCAATCTTCTCGCCTGTTATCTCATCTTTCACGATTCCTGTACCGTCTAAATACACGAAATCTCGTGGTCGAACGATGTGATGAAGTAACGTAGGTGCGAAGCAGGAAACGCTCCATTTAATGTGAAGTCCATGTACAGGGTCTTCAGGAGTTGGTGGGCAGATTTCACTGAGAATTCTCCCATCCGCGTTCATGTCATTCATGTATGCCGACGTGATCCGCATGAGCTCTGTGCTGTTTTGATGCACGCCATACATTTGATTGCCAAGTAACCCGTTGATTGTTCCAACTGTCAGGACGCCATGCAAGTTCCTCGAGAAGCTCATGGAGCCCACACTCTCCTGTATTGAATTTCTCATTACTGGACTATTTCTTAACGTCTGAACTGCGACTTTCCGGTCTAGATATGACGTAAGGCCATCCCGTTTTTTGATTATTTTAAAACAAGACTCGTCAATAGTGCCATTAAGTGGTGGGGATCGAAAGGTTCGATACTCGACCATCGCATCATCTACAAAAGCATACGCGAGGCTTTTCAATGCCTCTTGATCATGTAGAGACAGCGAAAGAGCGGGAAACGTGTCGGCGGGTAATGGAAATCTCATGGAAAAGTACGGGGTTTTCAAGTGACTAGCTCTGTCACACGCAGTTGTGGAACGAGATAACGATTGCAGCCAAAGAGCGAAAAACAGAGGGCGATTTAAAGCTTAGAGCAAACCCATATGTTGATCAGTTCTCATCGATATCAAAATATTAAGTTATCTGAGCCGTATATTATTATACAACGAGTATATATGCCGTCGGCAATAAGCAAAAAGATGCGGGACAAAGACACGAACTTGAATCAGTATCATTGAAATTCATTAAGTTTGATCTCATCACTCTGTCTTTTTTTTGAGTGCCTATCCATAGCTTTAGCATTACAATCACAAGTTCTCACAAACGCCAGTCAATTTTTCTTGTGCACAAGTAACAGCTTCAGTATTTGAAGAATGAGCAACGATAGACTTTCCAAATTGAAGTACAATCCTATTCACATAGTTTCAACAATACAATATTCGTTAATAATTTCCTTAGCAAAAATACCCAAATTTTTCCAACAGATACGTCAGGTATAACGGAGTATAGAAAAGCAGTCGACAAGCTACGATAATGTGACGTATATACACAATAGAATAGAGTAATGATTTTTTTAAAGCTGCAAATGTCTTCTTTCCTGTCTCTGTCTCTTAGTCAATCATGTCATTGCTGAGACTTTCATCTTATCACGGGTAATATGCCCCATCGTACTCTCGTCGTACTTCTTTTACGCTTAACCACATAAATCATACCACATTGCAATCTAGTTTAAATGCAGTTGAGAATGTGGAATTGTTCTACAGTGCACCGAAGAATTCCTGTTGGGCATCGGGCAAAGTCGATCTTGATGGTGAAGTTGATACGTCGTCGTCGTTGATTGGAATTTCAAAGTACTCTAGTGGATTCAGTCGACGTAGCTCTTCTGATGCAACTTCGAGTCCGTCAGCAAATTTTGCCACGCGCAGACAGCGAGCACAAAACAGCAAATTACGTCGTATAACTTGCCGTGAAGTAGATAAGAACGCTAGTTTATGTATCTCACAGCACGACGAGCACACTTGATTCATACAGACCTGACACGAATTATCAAAAGACGACAACTTTTTCACTGTCTTTTGACACACAGAGCAGATGCCACTCGATTGATCGAGCATTACTGTCCTCTTGGTCTTCAAAAGCCAATTAAGCTTTTTCATCTGACCACAATACGTACCTCGGCGATACGACATCAACGCTTCAGAGGTGGTGGAGATCGCAATTCTGGTGTGAATGTCACCCTTGGAGTCGACATACCCTTTAAGGTAGACTTCCACTACGCCATGTGCTTTCTGTCGAAACAATGCACAGATTGAGACCGTCGCACGCACAATTTGATACTCGGACAGCTCTCGAATGCTTGGAATTTCAAGGGAGTGCGAAACGCTATAGCCTATTCTCTCGCCCGTAATTTCGTCCACAATGATTCCTGTACCGTCCAAATAGACGAAATCTCGCGGTCGAATGATGCAATGAAGTAATGTAGGCGCAAAGTCTGAGACACACCACTTTATGTAGAGTCCATGTCCAGGATCTTCTGGAGTTGGAGGACAAATTTCGCTTAGAATCCGTCCATCCACAATCGAGTCATCCATGTATGCCGATTTGATTCGCATGAGCTCCGTGCTGTAATGATGCATGCCATACATTTGATCGTTAAGTGTCCCGTCGATCGTCCCAACTGTCAAAACACCTAGTAGCTTTTTTGAGGAGCTCTTTGTGCCCATATTCTCCCGTATCGAATCCCTCATTATCGAACTAGTTTCCAACGCCCGATCTACATGTTTTCGATCTAGATAGGACGTCAGCCCATCCCGTTTTTTGATAAATTTAAAGCAGGTTTCGTCAATAGTGCCATTGAGTGGTGGGGATCGAAAGGTTCGATACTCGACCATCGCATCATCCACAAAAGCTTCAGCGAGACTTTTAAGTGCCGCCTGGTCATGTTGAGACAGCAAAAGAGAGGGAAATGTGTTGGCAGGTAATGGAAACTTCATGGGATACAATTGAACTATTAGCACACAGATACTCCTGAGCTACGAGATGACGAAAGATTAACGAGATATGCAGCATTACGCATTGTAAATTTTCTTGAGCATAGCAGCGGTCGTAATCGCAGTTGTTTAATGTCCATATGGCATTGTGACAGAGCTCCATATTGGACTGCTTGTGACCTGATACATATATCAATCAACAGATAACAAGGTCTCAATGAAAACGTCATTTTTCTTCGTATCTGTTTTAAGCAGCTTTTTGGTCATGTTGAAGGGAGAGACCTGCATTCACAAAAGATTTAAAAAGTCCTGACGTAACCTCTGCTTTTGGTTGTCGTGTTGCAAGCCATAGAAACGAATTTTATATTACTTGTCAGCCGCCTGCACGGATCTAATGGCAGATGAACAATCCATCAGCCAAAATTTAAAAGCCTGTTTCTTGACTACCATCGTATTGAACCGCTCATTATCCGTATCCAATTTCATGATCAACTGTGCGACACATAAGTAACTTTTACGCACTTAATAAAAGTGTGCAGTATCTCGTTGCGGAGATTGTTTTTCTGGTGGACGAGTAGCAGTACCAGCTACAGATTCTCAGTCCTATATGTACGATAACGAACTACCTGAAAAAGTGGATTGATAGAAAAATTAATGTCTACTTTCCACTCGTCACGACGATGATGTCGATTTTTGCAACACAAATTGGAATACGTCAAGACATGTATAGTACCGTAATTTGCCACAACTGGCGTAGGTTCGAAGGCACACCATAATGTTCGATATCTGTACGTATGTGTAATGAGTTTTATACTTCTGACTGAGATGGGCTGTACCGACAATATGTTGAAGGATGAGCATTAAATTGACTCGATACTGAATTGTACTTGCGTTTAGCGCACAGAAAAGGGTAATATAGTAAAAGCCAGATATAAAGATTCAAGATTGAAAGGTATCATCATACCTATGATTTCGTATATAAAAGTAAAATTGAGTGGCAAATGCAAAAAGTAATACACGGTTTTGAACAAGAAACAGCATCACAGTTTATTACTGGAGATCTTGAAGGAATCGCCGCCTGCATGACAATATTTTCACTTTTCATTGAAAGTTTGCCATGATTATCCCGATAAAAAGAGCTGTGGCTTTATTTACGCATCGCTTAAGCTAGCAGCAACTCACATTTGACCGTAGTATTTAGTATGGTGTCGCACCTTTAAGTCAGCCACGACAGCTAAGTACCGTAGAAACAAACCTAGCTGATCTTGAAGTTCATATTTACGCGCATCTGAATTACACGCGATTCGGGGTAGATATAGATCTCATTACCACTTATCTATCTCTTTAATAATAAATTTTCTTTCTTACTGCCCAAGAACCTCTAGGCAGGCAAATTGTTGCCAGTGCGTATTATATCACGTTACGTTAAGGGATTTCTAACTGAAAACAGGATCTTTGACTAATATTTTAGTTATCTTGGATGATTCTGTGCTGCGCCGCCTTATACAGTATATCTGTAACCTGATTTTGCGCCATCTCGAGCCGACTTTCACCTACTAGAAGAGGTAATTTAGAATATTTTTTCAGCATTCATTTGGATTATATATTGATCATAGACACCCGTCCGCATCTAAAGTTGATTTAAACACTCGCTCTCAAGCGCTCGGCCGGCCATACCCTTGTTATTTTTCTTTTCACAACTCAGCAAGAATGTCAGCACATTACGAGCAATGATGGATGTTAAACCAATCATCATGTCGCTATGATTCATGATCCTGACATCCGTTATGACCATCGCTAGATACGTCCTCAATGCCTCACCTTATTTTGTAAATTACTCTCTGCAGTCGTCGATGATCTCATATCACGCCTGTTAAATAAACTTAACTGTCATCACGACCAGTCATTCAACATTGATTGATGACTTGGTTTTAAGCGATCTCGAGACTTTCACATCTGTTCTTCGGGTATTAGCACGTTTGGACGCGGCACGTGGCCTACAAGCAGAAGCTGTAGTTGAGATACATCACAACAAGTCTTCACATCTATCTATTACGATTTTTCCTCTTACATTGTCAAGGCTAATCAAATATAAAAACTGCTCTATACTTCCAACGCTCTTGAATGGTCAGTTTTGTTTTACAGAGCCGTTGAACGTTTAACATTTAACTCGCCGGGCACCCGAAAGTAGCATGGACAATTTCTAAGATCTATAACTTCTGTATTGCATCGGGAGCTTCTGCTTACAAAACGCTCCCATCTTAGAGTCGATTTTTCACTGCAGGATGTAGCTTTTCGTTTAAGCTTCGCCAGTCATGGGATTTCGATCGTATGGGCTACGCTTTGATGTTATAACGGATAATGAGACAAGCAGTAGGAAACTGCAAATTTTATTTTCTGAAATAGGAAAAAATTCAATTTAGCTTTATGATAGTCAATGTCTTGTCGTAAATATCATCAAACAAGTGATGAAGTCGTGTCTGAATTATATGCAGCTCTCTCCGTCAACATAGTGTCGAAAATTGCTTTCTGTTTTAAAGATGTGTCAGCTCAAAATGCTATATGATTCCAACACCTGTCGGCAATTTGGTGTTCATCCGAAGACAAAATGAGCGTCGCAAAATGTAACGACAATGTTGTTGGTGTGTTTACTTACTGAATAATATTCGTTGCAAATCAATGTTTTTTTGTTTTCTTAAAACTTATCAGAGTAGCGTCAAAACAATCATGTCTGATAAAAACTTGATTGATTTATCATCCATTCAACAGTCATCTTGCTTTGTGAGTCAAACGACGCTAAGAAGGTAATGCTCAACTATCGTTATAATTTTCACTAACGCAAAGCTTAATTTGTTTTTCATTATTGCCGTCCTACAAATTACCTAAACATTTAAGCATGGCATTCTTCGGGCACATGAAACCATTCCTCGTCTTCATATTTGCACTTCTGCTTCCGAAAAAGTTTTGAATTAAGAAATAAACCGACGAGGAGACCGGCGATGGTGCTGATGCCTGCTGATGATACGATAGCAAGTAGTTGGTACCATCCCTGCTCATTAGTAGAACGGTACGAACGCGCTACGTAAATGCTCGTCAAACTATCTCCGTAAAAGTCATCCGAGGTTGAAAAAGTGACGAGAGCACCCGCAAAACCACCGACGACACCAGGCATGCCGTGTAAATTAAGAATACCACAAGTATCAGAGAGCCGAAAACTCGTTTCCAAGAAAGGAGTCACGAAGCAGTAACCGATTGTAGATGCTGCACCCACAACTAGACCAACGGTAATAGCCACAGCTGGGCTGATGGCCAGGTTGCAACTCGTTCCCATAGCGACACCACCAGCCAGAGTGGCATTTTGTAAATGAACCATGTCGAATTTCTTAGTGTGACTGAACATTTTCGAAGCCACGAAAGTCGAGGCGCAAGAGGCCGCAATACTGAGCACAGTATTTATCACAGCACGCTCTTGCTGAAAACCATCTGTACTCACAAGAGCGGCGTTGAAAGATGGCCAGTACATCCAAAGGAAGAGCGTGCCTATTATGGCAAATACATCCGAGTGGTAGCGAGACGTGTTGTGGACTTGCTCGATAGCACTCGGGATCCCGAGCATGAT